GGATATGCGGGCTGGCCAACAGCTTTCTGGCCATAAGTGTAGGCCTAATGACTTAATTCCTGGCCCAAAGGGTTAACTAAAACGAGTCGAACAGCTGCTTACGGATTATCCAATACAAATTGCACTTGGGAGTCGTGTGGCGTGTTTTTTTGAATACCTTAAATCAATTCAAAGAAATTATGATAATACGATTTCAACGATTGCGAAATCAGAGAATTAATGATGAATTTGAATAGTATCATTTCACGCAAATTGAGTAAACATAATGCAAGCGCTTGAAGTTTTTCACATTCTTCGCTGCAATTTAAATGGATATCGGGCGGAATATGTATGTACAGACATACATATGTATGCATATCCTTCGTTTCGCTCGCTTTTACGTCAATATCGCAGCATAAATATTTACATGCTGCCGAGAACGCGAACAAACAAACTTTATTTTTGGGCAGCAGGAAACAAGTGCAATCCCTTCAACCCTTTCTCCGCTTTCTCCGCTTTCTCCGCCGCCTTCGCCGTCCACCTTTCGCGCTTTCTTCAGTGCCGCTTGACAATGTAAGCTCAAACAATTTCATTTCCAAACTGGCGCACTCACAGATACTCGAGCACGCGCGCACACAGATACAAACAGCTGCAAACAAACACACACCCGTGCAAACGCACACACGCACACACACACATACACACGCATAACGGTACATTAATTGATAATTGTTTTGTGCTCAAAAGAAATTAAAGAGCAGAAGCTGCCCCCGCCTCTCCGCTGCTTTCTCCGCACTCTCCCTTCCCTTTCTCCGCCACTTCTCTCCATTTCTCCATTTCCCCACCCTCTCTCCCCATCCTCCCCTTACGCCCCATTACACTGCAGATGTATTGCGAGAACGGGCGACAGACGGAAGTAAATAAAATGCGAGTCGACAGCCCAGCACCTCTACAGTGAAAAATGGATAATGAACATTTAAGGAAAACCCTGAACTCTGGCAAATATGTGCCTTGTGTTTCATTGGTTGTTGGAAATACGAGCTTAAGTTTCAGTAGATATGGTTGGGCTTCATCAAACACCTGCTTGTTTTCTGCCAGTGCATTACGTTTCGCGTTTGCTAATACAATCTGCACAAACTCTAGGTTTTTTTTTCGCTTTTCATTAACTTTTTGCGTTTGCTGCTTGTTTCGGACATGTTCTAGGTGCCACGCCCCTTCGCCGCCCCGCTAGCAACTTAATTGAACGATTAGTTTTTGTACGTGGACCACGCCCACAAATCGCCCGCTCACCTCCCCCGATTTTGGAACATCCGCATTTTTCGCTATCCATCCTGGGTCACTATTTAATTTTATCTGCTACGTTTTGGCTTTTATTCTCGTTTTTATCGCAACAGCAAGCAAACTATGTACTACAATTTGCCACGCCCATCCGGGGGAGGGGCGAAATGGGCGAAGGGGGCGGGGGCTGCTTGTCGAAGTGAGGAAAGGAATGAAAAAGTCAAATGCCATGGCACTAAAAAGTCAAAAGGCCACAAAGAAGCAGCGACAACAGAACAGCAAGTTATAGTAATGACAGTCTACTGGCCGAGGAAGCGAGATAGCATGCGGGCGGGAGCGAGAGGGAGAGGGAGCGAGAGAAGGTGTGAAAGAGAGCGGTAGATGGGCACAAAAGTTAAAATAAATAAAACAAAGCAAACGCATGAAATGACACAACAGAGACAAAGGAAGCTGTGTGAATAGGGGCGGGAGAAAGGGGGGTGCTAAGTGGTGGCAGGGGGTGGTGGTGGCAGGGGGTGGCGGAGTACCGCCCCCACATAGCAAGCAAGCCACCCACCCACAAAGCAGCAGCAGCTGGGTGGCAAAACGTGGCCAAACGACACGAGAACCCGCCTAAAAATGACAGCAAACGTGGCAAGATGTTGCGCTCCAACATATACACTGTGGAAAAAACAGCCATGCAAATCTTTGGCTGTCTCAAATAACTCAAAAAGTCTCGAAACAACTACAGCCTTCAAACTTGCTGTCTTAAAAGATATGCCACATAGTAATATGCCAAAGTTACTAATTTTCATGTTTTTTCAGTGCCTTGCTGCCTAATTAAGCCAGATTTGTTGCAGTGCAGGCGGCTGCTCCAGCTGGAGCGTTAAATACTAGGTGGGAGGCTGTAGTTGTGCCTCTTCCAGGGTGCTAAATTGGGTGGTGGGTGGTGGCTGGTGGGTGGCGCCGGGAGCAACAGCAGATAATTTAAAGCAAGGCTCCATTCCAGAGTTCTGCGATTCCGGCTGCTCGACCGCTGTGCCTCCAAGTAGCCGAATGGCAACTGTTGATAATGATGACGGAGATCCAGGAGTTGGAGGTGGAGGTGCAGGCGACACGCTTTTGCCGCGGGATACAGTGAAGCCTGCAGTGTGGCGACCTTCAACACCGCAATCAGATTGTACTTGCAATCGCTCTTCAGTTTGATTCATAGCACTATTGGTATGCATTCCTGATGGGATTTCATTGGCAATTCAGTGGCAGAATGAAAGGTTTGAGCCTTTCACGGCTCAATGTTCGATGTTCGATGTTCATGTTCGGCCTTAAGCCAGACCATCAAAGTCAGATTAATTGTTTTCGCTGCAGAAATAACATTAAGCGAATTTAATCGAACTTCCAAACTGCACTTTTGCAATCCTGAACAGCTCGTGTACCACTTGTCTTGCTAGACAATAATCTTCTGGCGCTTGTCAGTGCTGATTTCCGTGGATAACTGAAACTCCTCAGCCTCCCATATAATAAGCCATTCTTAGTCGCCTCCTCAACGCTCCATTAGTGCGTTAACGTTATGACAAAATGACCTCCGATTCGGTCAGCTGAACATCCTTTGGCCCGAAGTTGCGGCTTCGAGTCGCCGATGCTGAGGTTGATTTAAATGTTGATGCAACTGTGGGCGGACTGTGGGCTCCTTGAGGTCGCAGGATACGCACACGCGCGTGAATCAAACGGCACAGGTGGGTGGCTGGGTGGTCGTCCTGTCTGCCTCGAGTGTGTGTGTATGTGTGTGTTTATACAAACGTTTATACACACGCAGTAATTAATTTTATTTAATTTTCGACGACAATCCAAGCGACAAGAGCAAGGGCAGCCAAAAAGCCGTCAGTGAAATGAGACAGCAGCGCAAGATAAAAAAAAGAAAGAGCAATTGGTAGAAGGGCGCGTGGGCGTGGCCAGAGTGGCACCGGAAAAAACAAGTGAACAAAACGTCAACAATGAGCAGAGAAAAGCCGGCTAAAATGAGCAACGCGATCCAAAAACGGCGGACAATGCCAAAAATAAAAAAGACCCTCAACTGTTGGTCGTTTATCGCTGTTTTAACTCAATGTTTTTACCGCTGGCTGCACAGCAGGAAAATGCTTAAAATACCATTTAAATTGAAGTTGTAATAATCTCGTTGAGTAAAATGACGAATACATAGCCTCTGTGGATTAAGGAATTCGCTTAAATATTTAATCCCTTTATAAGAGACATCTTTTTATCGGTTTCCTTAAGGAAATTCAGGACTTTTTGGCACCGTGTTTGTACCCAAGATAAAGTCAAGAGGCTGTCCGCCGTCCGTTGTCCTTGTTCCGCCGTCCGTGTCCTTTGCGTCCGTGGGGGGGTGGGGGTCACATAATTATCAGCCACATCAGCCGCAGACGACAGGACTTTGACTTTTGGAGGGCGAGCGGAATTGGCGAAACGTAACGAAACGAAGTAAGAAAACAAGTTTAACTTAATTGTCAACATTGTGCCAGGCGGACACAAACAGCGACACAAGCCGGCAAGGACAATGGAAGGATGCGAGTGGATTGGGTGGCCAGCACTGGGGGCAGGTTGGGAAGCATTGGCAAGATGGCCAAAAGAGCACAGAAAGCTGCTGGCAGAACAAGCCCAGGCTGAATACCAAAACGGAAGGGCATAAAGTAACGCCACTAATGATGGAGCACGACATCTTCGCAAGAGTGAGAGAGACAGCGGGGAAGAGAGGGAGAGACACGGAGGGTAGGTGCTAGAAAGAGAAGCGAGCACAACTAAACTAAAAGCTAGATATCCACATCAGGTATGTCATTTAATTTATTCTACTATCGAACGCAACTACAAACAATTAATTCATTTATTTTGCTTGAAAATATGCATAAAATAATACAAGTTTTTATTTTTACTTTGAATCAACTGAATGTATGAACATGTTGCCTATATTTTCCAATGCATATTCCTATATATTCCCATGCCCTTGACTCGCGGCCTGTCACCTTTACGGCACGTTTACTTTTCCAACTCAAGATGCGAAAAGTAAATGAAAAAGCCAACGCAATCAAATGGCAGCGTGCTAATGAGACTCTAAACAAGCTGCAGGGCCATTAACCCATGTGCCACCCCGTGCCGGAAAAACGCATGCCAGCACGCTTCTCATAACCCTTAACACTCGCTGCCCGGCAAAATAGGAGGGGCAACGCAAAGGGGAGGGCAAAACAAACAGCAAACAAGTAGCGTGCCATGGCAATAAAATTTAAGAGCGTGATTACTTTTAAGAAGCAAAAGGAAATATATGTAAATGGGGAGGGTTAAAAAATAAACGGATTTTAAAAGCTTTCAGCGCGGACTAATTATGATTTGTGGCGGCTGAAAGCTAATTGCCACTAATTTAGCTTAGCTCAGCAAAAACACAACACTGCCAAACTCAAATGTGCCGCCAAAGTACGTGAATTTTGAATTTGAATTTAAATGTGATTGGTACCGATAACAAGGGAACTGGTTGCACAGTGTGTGCACACCAAGTTATAAATATCAGCACAGTTCTGATAAGAATGTTCGATGGGACCGGGTGGTTGTATTGGCTAAACACTCGATTGGCGATTAATGGTTCCGTCAATTTCAATGGAAGACATACAAATAAAGTGCATAACAATATATTTCAAATTACAGCGAAGATGATGCGCAAAAACGCTATCAGTGTAAAAGTATTGATTAATTTGCAAGTTCGATAACAGAAGCAGCAGTATGACTGTTGCTCATGTGCAAATCGACGACAGTTAGTGTGACCGTCTGTGCGCAGATGAACTTGCAACCAATACCAAAAGGTTTTTATTTATGAACTTGTTTTAAGGCGAATTACCGTGGATTTCACAGGCACTGAGCATCATGGGCGACGTGGACAAGTGGATAGAGATCGTGAAGGAGTGCAAGTACCTGCCGGAGAACGAGCTGAAGAAGCTCTGCGAGATGGTGTGCGACATCCTCCTGGAGGAGACGAACATCCTGCCCGTGAGCACGCCCGTCACCGTTTGCGGTGACATCCATGGCCAGGTAAGTGGTTATTGGCAGTCTCCCTGTGGCAGGGCTCAATGCCCACTAACCAACCACCCCAACCAATCGCCCCATACAGTTCTACGACCTGGAGCAGCTGTTCCGCACTGGTGGCCAGGTGCCGGACACCAACTACATATTCATGGGCGACTTTGTGGACAGGGGCTACTACTCGCTGGAGACATTCACCAGGCTGCTCACGCTGAAGGCGCGCTACCCCAGCAGGATCACACTGCTGCGGGGGAACCACGAGACGCGACAGATTACCAAGGTGTACGGATTCTTTGACGAGTGCTTCAGCAAGTACGGCAATGCCAACGGCTGGAAGTACTGCTGCAAGGTCTTCGATTTGCTCACCATCGCTGCCGTGGGTTGAATTGTGGAATGCTCTTGCGGACACCAGCTAATTCAAATATATTTAATCCTGCTTATGTAGATCATTGACGAGGAGGTGCTGTGCGTGCACGGCGGCCTGAGTCCCGAGATTATCACCCTGGATCAGATACGTACGATCGAGCGGAACGGCGAGATACCGTACAAGGGAGCCTTCTGCGATCTGGTGTGGTCCGATCCGGAGGACATGGAGTACTGGGGCCAGAGTCCGCGCGGAGCTGGCTGGCTGTTTGGCCACAACGTGACCAAGGACTTTATGGCGATCAATAACCTGGACCTGATATGCCGAGCACATCAACTGGTCAACGAGGGCATCAAGTACATGTTCGAGGGCAAACTGGTGACCGTGTGGTCGGCGCCGAACTATTGCTACCGCTGCGGCAACGTGGCCGCCATTCTCAGCTTCGAAACGGCGCAGCAGCGCCAGACGAAGATCTTCCTAGCGGTTCCGGATGCGGAGCGTGTGATACCCAAGCAGAACACAACGCCCTACTTTCTGTAGAACGTTGTGATACAACGCAGCACAATACCATACCATACCATACTATACCGTAGACCGATCCAATACGATCCGCCCACTGTTCCGGCATCGTAGCAAATAATCATATACGCTTGTGGAGAGCAGCGGAGAACAGCCTTCGACTGACTGGTCCAATTGTCCACCCTTGAACGCCTTCAACTCAGAACTCAAAACTCAAAACATGCATACCAAGCATACCAATACACTCAGTACAGAACTTGTAACTTGCGGCCCTTTTCGTATGGGAAGAACACATATCTAATTAATACGAGCAGAGTTGAGAACCTTTTGTTATTTGTTTTCGGCAAGTCAGCGTGCAAGACCAAAAAGAGAGAAACACGAAATTGCAAAGCATAGTTTCGATTTGTTTAAGAAGTATATCCAAGTATTGTATTTACTGATAATGGACGCTGAAGCAGAAGCTAGACATTTACAGAAGCAAGCCTCTATAAATCACATTTTTTTGTATTCCAACCTATTTATTTCTGTGAACAACACACAAATCATATTTTGTATAAGTAATGCTTTAAAAAAATAGATGGCACAGCAAGAACTAAGAATAATACAATTGTGTGATCCCGATCAAAACGATATGATTAAAACAAAAAGACAATTTGAAATGCGTTGCTCGGCAATCAATGGGAACCAATGGAATAAGCAATTGTACGAAATCTGGATAATTATACCGCTCCCAAAGGTCCATCATCCATCTCTATCACATTCGTGGCACTGCCGCTTAGAGCACACAGCTCGATTTAAGGTTTCAATGAAATAATTACGATTTCTTACATAAATATCTTTTATTTCGTTTTGTTTTCGTTCATGAATCATCTATCTGCGTTTGCAACATCAACAATTGTGTTTGCCTTACCCCAAAGAGCCATTTATATTATTCTAGCGTCCCATTCAAAACAAATATGTATAACTAGACTTTCTATTAAGGGGGAAAGTGGCATTCGCATTCTGGGGTATAATTCATCTCAACTTGCTTTTCCATGGCTCCCGGCCATGCTCACAGTGCCTTGGATACTTCTATATGTATATATATGTATGTGTTTCGGGGTCAACAGTTACAAAAAAAATTAAATAATCACACTAGCCATAGTGCATGTTAGGGATAAAAATAATGCTCAACAACAACAATTTGTTTAAACAAAAGAGAATAAAGATTGGCTCGAATCATGCATTTCCAAAAAAAAAGAAAAGAGTGAAACGCTTAGAGTTGATCAACTAATACACAGTGCATTGATGTTGTTGTAGTCGTTTGGATGTTTGCTATCCCTTGATTTCTATGATCATCCACCTTCTTGTTAGAGTTTTCCCTTTGGGATCCTAGCGATCGCCTAAGCTGCCCCGGTGTTCATTCCACTACTGCGGCGATATATAGTTATGCTCGAAGATGTCCAGCTCGTTCTGTATGTAGTTGGCCTTGTTGCGGAGCAGCTTGAGTTGCTTCTGGTTCGCCTCCAGGATGTTGAGCTGCGAGTCCAGCGTCTTGAGCTCAACGTTCATGTCCGTAGTGGCGGTGTCAACGGTGCGGCACAAACGGGCAAAGGTGCTCGACAGTTCCCTGTTGAGATATCACAGAGTACATTCAGTTAGCGCATCAGGATCCCGATTCAATCGCATATTTATCAATACTCACTGCTGCACTTGGTGACTGCAATTGGCCGAGGTGAGGTCGACGATCATCTTGAGCTTCTTGGTGGCATGGCGCACATACTGTGACTTAAAGGTGCGCTCCTTGGCGGAATTAGTCCACGAGAGGCGCTCGTACAGGTAGATGCAGCCGTACAGGGCGCCCACGCCCACCAGTACGCGCCAGCCAATGGTTTTGAGCATCTGTAAGTGTTTTGATTTCAGCATACAGCTATGTACTAGTACCTGCTTGGGCATTTGTAAGCACAAGAGGTGAGGCGAATATCTGAGCGATATCACTTACGATGCCGGCGACGACGAGGCCACCAACGGTGCCCTGCGATCCAATGGAGGACACCGCGAAGCGTGAGATCAGCGACAGCTGCTCGGGCGTGATGCCAGCCACACCAGGAGCGGGCAGTAGGCACACAGGAGTGGATTCCACGGGCGTGATGGCCGGCGTCGATACGCTGTGCTGTAAACGAGATTTGATGGCAGTGATATAGTCAAGGTGATTCGACCACAACTATCCTGTAGGAACTCACTCCAATACTGCTCTGTCGATTGACCAGCGCTGGCTGGCCCTTCTTGCTGCGCTCGCGCACCTTGCCGGTGAAGCGCTGGATCATCGCCGCCATGCCCCAGCTGAACTTGAACTCCAGATCCTCCTGGAAGTCGGCGCAGAGGTTCTGGCAATTCAGTGAGTACAGCATCTCGAAGGGCTGTGTGCGCACCACTATCTTGGTGCTGGTGGCCAGCAGCTGCTCGTTGGGCACCAGGGCGTGCATGCGGTCGGTCATCTCCGTCTGTGCGGACTCCACGTTCATGGCCAGGGCCATGGATAAGCGGGCGCGCAGATTGCTGCCCAGACCACTCTCCAAATGGGCATTCAATTCCTTCTTGTAGATGTTCAGAACCAAACGCTCCGGATGGAAGGGCATGTTGAACTCGTCAATGAGCACACCCAGGCGCCAGATCTCCTCGTTCAGTGCCTTAGACACCTTCTCTTCCACCTCCTCCACCATGTTGTGGATCTTCATCTTCATTTCCCGCGTGACCTGCATCATCTGCGTCTCTGTGCCCTGAATGCGTTCGGTGAGCAGGTTCTTCTGGTCCTGCTTCAGATTGCGGAATATGGTTATCCGCTCGAAAATGTTGTCCAGCATTGATTTCATGTCCCCGGAAACACTCTTGCCACGCGAACTGTGCTGCTGGAACTTGGTTTTCACCGCACTCTGCGAGATGCACTCCTCGAACTTGCGCTCAAAGTCCTGGAACTCGAAGTAGCGTATCTGGAATCCCTCGGCAATGGCGCCCATGTGCGGGGGATTGCCCTTGGCCTCCTCGATGCGCGCCTGCAGCGTTTCCCTGGCGGAAACAAAGAAAACCCTTTCGGCCGCCTCCTTCTCGTTGCTCACCTTCAACTCCTTGGTGAGGAAGTCGATGCAGCGTTCGGTGTGCTGAGACTTGACCTATCAATGGGCGAAATAAGGGGCTTAGAAAGTGCATATAGCAGTCATTTAGGGCAACTAAGTAAGCCGCTTTAGGAAAAGTTAACAATGAAAGTCATCGGTTCATGCCGATGTTAAGCACAGTGGATTGGGTTTTTGTGGGACCAAGCAAGCGGTTCATTTTACCGGGTCTAGCTCATTCATTACCTTAGCCAGTTCCTGGCGTTGATTACAGTGGATAGTTGGTTGGTTGTTTGGTTGTTTGATTGATTGGTTGGGTAATAAACAAAAACAAAAGACACGCATCAACATAGAGAAAACAGGCATACAACGAGGTCTAAGAGATATTTATAAGAGGTGACAGTGGAAAACTGCTGTGAAACGAACCATTGACAACCACATGTGGATATGTGGATATGGTTCGCCTGCCATGTAATGGTGATGCAGGGTCTGACAAAGATCGTGGACTAATTAAAGGGGCTCCCTAGAAGACCATACCGATTCCTGGCACTCGGGCTCGTTGGCCGAGGCGTCCCAGCGATTGTTCAGGATGAAGATGTTCGGCTTGCTCAGTTTCTGGGAGACGGTGTGAAAGAACTGCTTCTCCGCACGCGTCATCGTTGACTCGGCATTCAGAACCAGCACAAAGACATCGGCGTTGAGGCAATGGTTGTCGATCCAGTCGTCCAAATTGGCCGACACGTCCACGCCAGGCGAGTCGACAAAGACGACATCGTCGCGCAGCAGGCTGCAGCGTTCCCTTGGCCAGAAGATGCGCACCAGACTGCTCTCGCAGAGCTTCTCCTGACACAAGGCATTCGCCAGTTGTTTGATGTTCTACGGATCAAGTTAGTCCTTAGAAAAACACATTCCCAAAGCAGAGATGGGTAGCGCCAACTTACCACTACATTGAGCTTTTCCTCGGAGCCCTCTGTCATTAGATACGCCTCACCGCCATTGCTGCCCTCCACTTGGCAGAAGCAATTCGTGGTGTGCCCGATGCCGCTGGGCAGGATCTTTTCGCGCAACATGGCATTGATCACCGAGCTCTTGCCGTTGGAGGTGCGCCCAAAGAAGGCCACCTTCATGTGATCCCGCTGCAGTACCTCGCGAATGGCGGCCACCTTGTAAACATAGCTCTCGAACAGCTCCCGTTCCGCCTTGTCCACGATCTCCGCCTCCGTGTGCAGGGCTGGAAATGCAACGAACATTGTCTTAGAGGGTATTTCACCATGGGAGATAGATGTTAGATAAGAATCGAAATTTCACCATTTCATTTGTAAAACAGTTTTGTTTATCAGTTGTTCATTGTTTTTGAATGCTTTATGGTTTTCCCTGGCCAACTCACCGTTGATGAAGGTGGTCGTCTCATGGACATACTCCTCGATCTCGCCGTAGATGTCGTTGATCTTCTTCTTGGCGCGCACAAAAATCTGGAGCGGTGATTTGTCGTTGGATTGATAGAGCCGCGATTCCACATTGGCGGCCATGGTGGAGCCGGATGGTAGCAGCGATGAGTTGAGCCGGGATAGCGGGGATCCGGGTCCGGATTTGTCCACCGTGTCCGTGGAGGAGGCGTGATGGTCGTCGTCGGCGGGGCCCGTTTGCCCGGTCACCAGCGAGATGGTGCGGTTCAAGTAGGCCGCCATTTCGGGATCCGGTTAATAGGTGATTCGGTTTTGCAGATGGTTTTTGGGAAGAAGAGAATTGCGATACAAAACAAAAGGTATGCAGCCTAGAGATTCGGTTGTTCGGACTCCAACTTCTTAAAACTTTTCCAACTTCTCCACCAACCAAGAACTCAAAACTTAAATATCTCTGTTTCTTGTGTTATTTTGCTTTCAGGGGTATTTGCTCAAAAATCAACGTCACAAAACTGAAACGAAATTAAATGAAAAATTATGGCACGAAAGGAAAAAACACAACGTTTTCATACAGTGCGCACTAGATAAGCTGAACTCTGTGGTTTAAATATCAAACAAAATGTGCACAACAAAATCAAGCATGTGTTTGCTTACATTTAAGGAGAACATAAACTATTGATTTGGTGATTACTTTTTCGAGAGTGCACTGTATTTGGCGAAAAGGAAAATACCGCAACGCAAATTGCACACACACACACAAGTGGTCCAATTGCGCTGCAAACAAATATAGGCGAAAAAAGTATAATAATCTAATGTTTTTGGTTATTTCTTTTTTGACAATTCACATCTGTGTGTGTAAATCGAGTTGATAAAGTTCAATCAGCCCTCTCGCTCTATCAACTAACCTGATTATTGCCACTCTCGCTCATATTTGTATTTGTTTTATATATTTGTATTTATTTTCCTCTCCGGTTTTTCTATTCTTTTCTTTTAGTTGCTGCCCCACAACTGATGCGTTTTCAAATGGAAATTCGGGGAAAGCGTGGCTCGAACTTCCAATAACCGTACATTGCCGACTAGAATCCAGTTGCAGAGAGGCAATTTCACGAAATTTAGTTAATATTATTAATTTTTTTTAAATGCACATGATGTAACGTTAAGGTGACCAACTCTTGTTGCTTTCTGCCATCCGGCGTTAGTGTATTTTTACTCATTCCCGATGTCTGGTATATTTTCATGCCAATTGGGAGCTTTAAATTGTATTTTTTCAATTCATTGCCATTTAATTTAAATTTATTGTTTTGGCTTACTACTAAACTTTAATATTTTAATTGCTTAATTGAAGAATAGAATTTACCGTGACAATGATTTCCACTGATTGAAAATGGTCACACTAGCCATTTTACACCAAACCAGAAAGTAACGGCGCTTTTCCAATCTCCAGTTAAGAGGCCGCGTGTAGTTTTTGTCCCGTGTTAATTGTAAATATTAGTTCCGCTTTTTTTCGTTCCGTGTGCAAAGACATGAGTCTGCAGGACGAGAGTTTTCCGGCGGACGAGCTGTTTGACCAGCTGAACAATTTAAGTAGCGGTGGCGCCAGGAACACCTGGTTCGCGGAGCACCATCAGCCGGCCGGCTTTGAGCGGGATCCGTTGCCATTTTTGGAGATCTGCTACGCGGATGCGGATTTTGATGTGGATGGGGATGCGGATGTGGCCAACAAAAGCGCCAAAACAAGCGCAAGCGAACCCGTGGGTCGTGATCAGGAAGATGAGGACGATGATGGGGATGTCGATGGTAAGAAGTTCTTTATTTCTTGAACTACACTGGGAAAAATATTATCAACATACATAAAATGTCACAAACACAGTTTTAAACTTCATACACTCTCACTGGAGTAAATTCAATATCATATTGTATATTTTTCAATTTTTTTTTTAAACCAAAATTGTGCACTTTAGTGGTGGAACTCGAAACCCATTTCTATTTTGCTACTTCCTTAGTACTACAATGTTTCGAAGTGAATTAGGTACATTTATGGAGCATGCTCTATATCTTCACTAATCCAGTCAATTGACCGTCGTTAACGGGATTTCTTGTTTTCATCCAGGTGATGGCCGTAAACTAGGTGAGGAGGAGGCATCATTGGCCAACGGGCGCTCCAGCAAGGCGGTCTCCTACCAGGACATCCACTCGGCCTACACGAAGCGCCGCTTCCAGCACGTGACCAGCAAGGTGGGCCAGTACATAGCGGAGATCCAGGCGCAGGACGAAAAGAGACGCAATGCAGCGTTCGCCGGCATCCAGCGGGTCATATCCATGCCAGGGGGTCTAACGCCCAATTCGCAGCAGGCGTATGTCCATGATGATGAATTCAAGGCCGAGAACTGTCAAACCCCCACCAACTCGAACTGCAATTCCAATTCGAATAACTCCAGCTGCAGCTATGAGCGATTGCTGGCCGAGAACGAGAGCCTGCAGCAGGAGAACGAGGGACTGAAGACAGAGACGAAACGCCTGCAGGCGCTAAACGTGTATGTTCAGGATCGACTGGTCAGAAAGATGGAGGATTGTCTGAGGATTAAGCGCAATTTCGAGACCCTGCGCACCGAGCTAAGCGATTGCCAGCAGAAGCTGAGACGCCAGCAGAGCACCTCACAGCAATCGTTGAGCCGCACTCAACCGGCTACCACTGCCAAGGCCACCCAAACGGATTCCCTACTAGCCGCCAACTCCGCGACCGGCAATGTCCTGGTCACACCCCATCCCTTGGGCGACCTAACCTACAACAGCAGCAAAGGATCCATTGAGATGGCTCTGCTTAGTGTGGCGCCTGCAACCCGGGTGGTCCAGAATCCGGGTGCGATGCACCCACAATCCTTAGACTTTAGCAGCGTTAGCACCGAAGCTGATGGCAGCGGTAGTGGTAAGGATCTGTATACTATTGTATAATATCTGTATTTTAATATATGTACATATATACTAACTCCGCCGATTGTTTAGACTAAGATTGACTAACATGGATATTGGTCGTTTTTTTTTTTGTTTTTGTTTTGTAAGTTTGAACCAATTTACGAATCCGTTTAATGTAGCTTAACCATAATCATTACCTTGGTTTCTATTCAAGGCGAACCTCGTGTGGACTCCTCATCCAGGCCCTTGGTCAGAAGAACCCCAGCGCCCAACAACTCGGAAACCAGCCAGCCGAGCAGCAACGACTCGGCCATCGAGGTGGAGGGACACGAGGAGGAGCGACCCATCTCCAGGCGACAGTGGGCTCTCCAGGAGGAGCGCACCACCTCCAGGCAATGGGGTCAGCACGAGGGCATGTATTACTTCGACAAGCGCAACAACCGAGTCGTTGAGGTGATGAGCTTCAACATCAGCCAGGGTCGGAATCAGAGCCAAGACACAATTCAAAATCAGAGTACCAACGATAGCCAGGCGCATCTACTGGTCCATTCGATGTCGCAGTCGCAGGTAGAGACGCATGTTCACTTTGGGAGTAAGAGGACGACACTGAGCAGCCGGATGCTCCGCTTCCTGGGGCCCTGCGTTCGCTGCCGGAATAGTTCCAATGGGGACCCAGGGCACGACAGCAATGCCACGTACAAGGTGGTTTTACGCCCGAAGCCGGAGGAGTTCGTAGACCCAAGGAACCAGCGTTAGCCCCTCCTCCATCTCCTTTTATTTATTTTTTGTATGTATAATCATATCTTGTTATTTTATGTCGCGCTAAGTTATCCATGTAGTCAACATTTTTAATGCCACAATATTCTGTTAACGCCAATATGTGAACGTATATAAATTACAAAATTCGTAAGTAACTTTACTCAGAAATAAGAGAATTTGTTGTTGTATTTATTTATTTCTATCCAAGTAAGTGTAATTGTTTCCGTAATAAATATGCTCACTTGCATTTGTATCCGAATAGTTCGGGGTTTAAGGGACTGGTGATAAAATGTGAGTTATTTCATCTACTGAAATGAGGTTAGTTCACGAATCGCATGCAGATTCAGTCACACTGGCAGTGGCCGTTGCGCGACTTCGGTCACACTGGCAATTACTCGAAACTCCAGTATTCGCCACCAAAATGTGCGCACCCTTTTGCTCCGAAAATGGACAAACGATCTTCGATTCAAGTTTGCTAAGATTTATTGTGGGTTTTTGCTTTCTCGAATACACTTGCACGGCAATGAACGAACGCTTTTGCAGCTTCCACTGGTGGAGTTGACAATAACTACTCTCTATGCATTATATTATTTATTGTTCTGTTTTTTTATTGAGTTTTTTCAAATGTTTTTGTTGGTTTCTTTACACTTGTTTTTGTATTGTATTTCTCGTTTGTATCTTGTTTGCATAATAAATTATAGTTAAATTAAAAGTAAAATGTTATCAAGTTAGTAATTTTTTTTAGGTTTTCAGGCGGGGTGGTGCTGGTGGGTCGGGAGTTTGGGGGATAAATCATAAAGGTATTGTCTTGTGGTTAGTCGATTGGCTAAGACGAACAAAAAAAAAAAACATAACAAACTTAATAAGGAGTGGGGATCGTAGGCGTGCGGGCGGTTTTGGGTGGGGGAAATGCTGAACATAAACAATAGGCGCAAACATTTTTCTCGCTCTGCTTGTCCCTATATATATAGTCAATCGTATGTATATATATATATATAAATATATATATATATATATATATAGCTTATACAAATAATTAAGTGGTTGCTTGTCGGTTTCTGTTCGTTAATTATTTTTACTACTAAAAATAAGTTTCTGCCTTATTTCCAACTTATTGTTTTGCAGTTGCAGTGTTGCAGTTTTCCTCTGGTTTTCATTTTTGTCCTATTGGTTCGTATTTGGTTGTTGTTTTCCTCAACTAGACATCTCCAACTCTTTCAATATCAGCGTCGTCATATCGATATCCATCCCATGTCATCCTAATCCAATCCAATCCAATCCAATCGATTCTCTCTCCCCTCGTCCCACGTCAATTACAATCTACAGCTTCTGCATTTTACGTCCATCGTCCGCTGGCTATAAAAGGTTGAACTCCAGCTCCTCCCACTCCTCCTGCTGCTCCAGTTGCTTACTTCTGGACCATCTTGACCAGCAGATCGGTGGAGAATGACTTGGGGCGCTCGATGGGCAGGCCGAGGGCGCGATCCCAAACGAGGGAGGCCAGCACGCCGAGGGCACGGGACACGCCGAACAGCACGGTGTAGTAGTTCATCTCCTTCATGCCGTAGTACTGCAGCAGCACACCGGAATGGGCATCTACATTGGGCCAGGGGTTCTTCACCTTGCCGGTCTCGGTCAGGATTGGAGGCACCACCTTGTAGATCTTGGACACCAGCTGGAAGGTCTCGTCCTCGGGCAGGTGCTTCAGCGCAAACTCGCGCTGGCAGGTGTAGCGGGGATCGGTCTTGCGGAGCACGGCGTGTCCGTAGCCGGGAACCACCTGGAAAATGGGCAAGTAGTTACGGTAAGTAAGCATCTCTGGTTTTCTTATATTATTATCAATTTTGAAATGTTTATGTGAGTCTGGCAATACTAAGAATATTTTGAATAAGGAAATTATATTCATGTAGAAATAGCTTACCTGTCCGGACTTGAGGGTCTTCCAGATGTAATCCTTGAGCTGCTCCTCTGAGGGGTTGTTGCCGGCCTCCTTTTGCAGTTTGCGCAGCCACACGAGCACCTCCTGGTTGGCCAGGCCGTGCAGGGGACCAGCCAGACCGTTCAGGCCGGCGGCGAAGGAGAGGTAGGGATCGCTGAGGGCGGAGCCCACCAAGTGAACGGTGTGGGCGGACACGTTGCCACCCTCGTGGTCACTGTGGATGGTCAGATAGAGACGCATCAGCTCAGTGAAGGGGGCGTTGTCGTAGCCGAGCATTTTCACAAAGTTGGCCGACCAATCCAGGTTGGAGTCAATCGAACGGGAGCCCTTGCCGCCGCGGTAGGTGTTGCAGTAGATGGTGGCCGCCACCACTGGCAGCTTGGCGATCAGGTCCATGCTGTCCTCGTAGACGTACTCCCAGTACTTGCTCTTGTGCACACCATCCGAGTAGGCCTTGGCGAACTTGCTGTCGTGATTCAGCGCGGTGACGGCAGCGGCGAACTGCGACATCGGGTGCAGGGTGGTGGGCATGTTGTTCAACATGGTGACCACGTGCTGGGGCAGGGCGGCGCGCTCGGCCCATTCGCGGGACAGCTGCTGCACCTGGGACTTGGTGGGCACCTCGCCAGTCAGCAGCAGCCAGAAGAGACCCTCGGGAAGGGGCTCGCTGCCGCCATCGGCGGCGGGCAGAACCTTTTGGCACTCGGGAATGGAGAGGCCGCGGAAACGGATGCCCTCATCCGCATCCAGCACCGATGTCTCGGTTACCAGGGCCTTGATGCCGCGCATGCCGCCGTACATCATATCGATGGTCGTCTCGCCCATCTTGGTGGAGCCATGCTGCTTGCGGAAGTTCTTCACGCGCTCCTGCTCCTGGGGCACCTTGGCGGCCAGCACGTCGCGCAGGCTCTTGCCATCGGCGGCGATCATGCGGACATAGGCTCCCACATTTGGCAGTTTCTGAATGGGATGGAGTGGAAAAAATCCCAGTTAGTTTTGAGATTATACAAACAGTGCAAGAAATATACAAAAGCAATATGTAACACTCAAAAATACTGGTCTATCATTTTGGGAGAACAATCAAACAAGGAAGGTTCCTTGGAACAAGGAAAAGGTTTCCGTGTAATCGGACTGCAAACAATGAACAGCGTTCTTGACTGTAATATTTTCCGTCTAAATAAACACTGGATTATTGTGCAAGCAAATGAACGAGCGATTGCAAATAAACAAGAGCATGGGCTTTCAGTACTGATAAAAAATATAAGTTAATGACTGCTTTCAGCGATCAAGATCGCTAGTACGATGCTAAAGGAAAGTTATCGTACATTTGCCTATCGATTTTTTGAGTTTTCTTGGAATGCAAGGGAAACGAAATATTAAACGGGGTTACATAAATATTATGTTGAAATTCGATTTAAGCCCTGCCGGGAACATTAAAAGTCGCGCTAATTCGCCAAAGCCTGACAACTAACAAGCACTTCCGAGCTATGTTATCGATTGCAATCGACCGCTTCATTGCCTGTCATTGAACGACGCTTTCAAGTGCAAGGCGAAACGCACATTCATGTGCATTTATGTGTGTACATTAAGTAATTCCCGGTTTTTGTGGCCGTCTGAGTTCAGCTGATAAAGCTGCACTCGTTATGTCATCATTAAAACATTTTGCATTTCAGTGACTCAGACGCGCCAGATTCCCGGGTTAGACGAACTGTGTGGCACGGGTGTGTGCGACAAACAAATGTTTGCCGGCATTTAATTGAATTCAACTTAACTGCCGGTTCACTGAACCGCCCACAACAAACCTGAATCACACAACGATTCCCCCAGGTTTACCTTTTTTGCATTTGTATAAATTTCATATGCATAAGAATCGTTTCGAGATCATATATGTATACACATATACATAGTTGAACGATAGAAAAGACGTCACTTCAATTGAAAAGGTCACCATTCTTTCTTTCAATATTCAAAACATTCATAAAAAAAATTACGAAAATAAACATTCTCGCGTAAGGTGGAAAACCATTTAAAAATTGATGGTAACCAACCATCAAGGGAAAATGTGGTAAAACTAATTTTTTTAATTGAATATGGAGTATGGATCGATCCTCTTTAGAACTAAAACACCCCAATGATCTCTTGCCACGCGTTGGCATTTGACAAATAAAACGAAGCAAAATGGAATGGAAAAACTGGGATTCCGAGCCGAGAGTCCAATTTCAATTCCGATTCCGCTCGGCAGGCGCAAAGTGCGATTTTGTATTTGATTGACAGGCGTAGAGCACAGACCCCCCCTCTCTCTGCTCTGTTACCGCCCCACAATATCCCCCACCGTTCTGGCATGATTTTCTTTATTTTTCTGGTTGCGCGGCCAGTGGGTCAACAAATTCAATTAACCAAGTGAACTTGTGGCGCCGCCTGCAAAATTGAATTGCATGATTCGCGGACTTGTCATTTGAGTTGTGAGCCAACAACGTCACCACCGACGACCGGTTTTCCTTCCAAATTCATTGATAAAAAGCTTTTCGGCCAAGCTCGACGTGCATTTTAATTACCGATAATAGCCGAGTAGCGTATCAAAATATAAAAACCACAGTCGGTTGGCAACCGCAGGTGTTGGTTTTTGTTTCGTTACCACAAAAGAAGCACTGAGCGAAATGTTGTGCACCAAATATTCACCGTACTTAGTAGTTAATAATATAAATAGAATTCCTATACCATCGGTATATTTTTTTGTTCTGGGTCGTGTGGAATTGGAAACCCAAGATGTTTCCCAGTAGGAAAACATCATTTTGTAGCAATTGCGGCACACCGCAAGGGAAACGCTCATGTTTCTAATGCTAATTGAGCTGTCAACCGGGTGGTTTGTATAGGATTGCTTGAATAACACCCAAAAACCCAAATGCCCAATGACCACGCACCACTGTACCACTATACCACTGTAGCACTGTACCGCTGCTAGCTTATCGCTATGCTCTGCAAGTATTTCACTTTTCCGGAGTGGTGAGGGGGTTGGGGACACTTGGGGAGGGGATGAGAGGGGAGGGGGGACACTTGAAGTGGGCCTGGGGCTCGACGCGAGAATACACTTGTATACGACTAGAGGGCTCGTTATCTGGAGCAGAGGCGCGCGTTCATCTGCTGATAAGCCCAAGCCCCCGAGAATGGGCGAGCATGTGCAGTATTAGTAATAGTATTAGTATTGGCAGTATTAGTAGTAGTCGTAGTAGTGGATTGTCCGAATGGATTTCAAGGTCTCACGCGCCGACAATTATCGCATGTCTAACTATGGGCTGCGTCCCAGCTGCGTTTGCCATGTCATCAAGGAAGCGTTC